CGGGGGGACCCGGCCCAGCTGGCTTCTTGTCGTACATGCCCACCAGGATCTTGAGGCGGTTCCCGGGCACGATGCCTTGGCGCCCGTGCAGTGAGCAGAGCCACCAGCCGTCCAGGCCCTGCGTGTCGCGCTCCAGCACCGTCATAATGTCGCCCTTGCGGAAGGAGAGCTCATCGGGGGACTCGGCCACGTTGTCATAGAGGGCTTTGGCCAGCACGTTCTGGGGAGAGAGGACATGGACTGCATGAGGACTGGGGGCTCACCCAGGTTCCCTCCATTCTGGGGTCGGGAAGCAGGCACTGGAAAGACTTAGGTTTGATGAGATACGGTGCCTTTGCTCCTGGGGGCCCTGTCTGTCCCCAGATGAGAGGTTCAGTTGATCCTGGTGTCTCTTTCAAGTGGGCCGGAGAGTACCTTCCACTGCGGCCACCAATAGTCCAGGACAGCACTCAGATCCTCCTAGAACCATCTGAGCCACACCACAACCTGGACCCACACAGGGAGGGTAGTGGTCCACCATGGTCAAGCGGTGAGTGGACAGCTATGGGAGGCCAGGAAGTAAGTGGACAAAACACGGCTCCTTAGGATACACACAGGAAGGATGAAAGGGAGCTTCCTCTTTTAAAAAAAAAAACAACTATTTATTTATTTATTATCATCATAACCTTGTTTATATTACATTGAATCACATATACCTTAAAGGGAGCTTCTTTCACTTAATGAAAGTCCATCTACCGAAATACGAATAATCAGTGGAGAATTTCAAACCCCTTCTCCCAGGGCTGGGAGGAAAACAGGATGCACACTCTGCAGCCCAACGCGGTCCTGGCGCCCCGGCCGGTGCGATTTACCGTGAGGAGGAAATGGAGGGAGAAATAGGCGGGCGTGCACCCACATGGACAAAAGGGCCGTCTGCAGACCATACAACTGCCTACGTGAAAGACCCTACGACCAGAACTGCTGATGAGGAACATCACAGAAAAGACATCACACACGAGGGGCTGGCAGGTGGCGTGGTGGTTGAGGGCACTGGACTCCTACATGAGTGATCGTGGTTTGAGTCCCGTACCTGGCAGCTTGCTTTCCCACTTTCCCTCTCCCTCTCTCTCTCTGGCCCTCACTCTGTCCCTCTCTGGTCAAAATTAAAAATAAATAAGATAAATAAATAAAGTTAAATTTAAAAAAGGGATAAAAAAAAGACAAGACATCACACACGACAAAAGCTAGAGGTGATCAGGACTTAGTCGCGCAGAGACGGCACCAGACCTCGGTGAAGAGCATGGTGCAGTGCCCAAGCACGCAAGGGAGCACGGGGTCAGGAGAGGCGCGTGCTGAGTTCACGGTGGGATGAGTTAAGGCTCAGAAAGCCCATTTGTCCAGGCTTCCTTAGGTGGTTCCCTAGCAACTACAATAAAATAGTAAGACTCTCTCAAAAATTCACAGGAGAGGCCAGCAGGTGGCAAGGTGGTTTAAGTTGCTGGAGTCTCACATGGGCAACTGCAGTTCAAGTCCCGGACCTGGTAGCTTGCTTTCTCAAATTTCTCTCGCTCTCTCTGGTCAAATTAAAAAAAAAATAATAATAATAAATAAAATTAAATAAACAATTATTTTAAAATAAATAAACTCATTATAGAGAGAGAGAAAGAATCTCTGACAGGGTCTTGTCATGCCATGACTCCCTTCCCACAGTCCTCCAGTGAGATCTCTGCACACCTGCCTGGACTGTGCTCAGGCCGACCTAGGGACCCACACCTATCATCTGCCAAATGACTTCCAGCACTGCAGTTCAGTTTGCCACCTACTGTGCCACCAGGCTGCTTCTAGGACTTTTTTTTTTTTGTGAGGGAGGCAGGGAGAAACTTAACTAAAATTAAATGGAAGAACAGAGGTCCGTGAGTAAGCAGTCGATTCTAAAAGCGGACAGCGAAGGGACAGCCCTTCCTGGCCCAGGGGTGTGCTGCAGCTGGGGGGCCGGGGGGAAACAGGAGCAGGTGCAGGGACCAGCAGACAGGGCCAAGCCCAGGAAGGGCCTGCTCTCTGTGAGCACCTGGCAGACGACACAGGTGGGACCACAAAGTGATGGGGAAAGGACAGGCCACTGGGAGAACTCAGCTGCTGCCGAGACACAGCTGGTTTGGACCATGGCCTCTCGTATAAACAGCAGCAGCTGACCACTAACAGGCCCAGCTTCAGCAGGCTGCATGGGAGGCCAGGCTCGGTTCTGGTGTGGTGGCACTGGCCTGTGGTCTTTGGTGACTGGGAGACTGGGACAGGAGGACAGTGACATGGTGAGACTGTCAAGAATACCTCTCTCACTGGAGAAAGGGGCTCACAGAGTGACCTGACCCGTGGATGGTGCCCCAGACGCATGTGCATGTGCTCCACTGTGAAGAAAGAAAACAGTGAAAACAAAGTAACTAGGAAGCCCCTTTCCTTCCCTCCCACATTCTCTCATCAAAACAACAAAACATGTAAAGGAGCAAAGAAAAGAAAACAACTGGAATAGGTCAGTGATGTTAAGGTAGGAAAATACCATGAAACAAAGCCCCAAAGCAAAGACCCTAAAAATGTAAACCACAAGTCAACAACGACAAAATCCGATGCTTTGGCTTCAGCGTGGGGCAGAATCCTGAGACAAGGAGCAACTTGAAGCCAGAGACCAAGTGACAAGAACAACTGACCCAGAACATGGAGGAGTCTGCACAGCAACAGGAAAGGAGCGCACTGACAGAAGGAACCTCAGAGCAGGGAGGACGCCCCGAGACAGGAGGCGACGGCCGAGGACTACGTGCAAAGGCCCAGTCCCAGCTAGCACAGATCCCAGGCTGGAGCACCCCCGAGACCCCACGCATGGCCACAGGGTGTCCTAGTGTCTGGGGTAGTGGCACCCTGGGTGGTGCTGGCTGGAGCACCGAGGGGCCCACCGACCTCAGCAGCACCAGAATGCTTGCCCGTCACGACCAGGGGCCACCTGGGTTGCGCACAGGGGCCAGGAGCTGGTAAAGATTGGGTCAGAATAAGGAGACTGCAGGCAGCACCCACTCGAGAATGTTCCAAACTCCAGAAAAGGCCCGGCGTGCTGGGAAGATGCACTACCTCAGCATGGGTGCTTCGGAGGGAGGAGCCAAGCTTAGGGACAGTGGGGAAATAAGGCAGAAGAAAAACGGGATCTCGCATGTACAGAAGACAGCCAGAGGAGGACAGAGGCACCCGGCCCTTTACATGGGCTCCTGTTGGTTCTCACAGCCACCCTGGACGTGGGCACTGCACTGGTCCTCCTATGGTCAGCAACCCTGGCTAGGCAGGGTAGTGCCCCACCGCCCATGGGTCGGGCACCTGTGTGGGGCATGGAGGGGCCGGCGGGGACTACATGGGGCAGCCAGGGTCCGGCAGACCCTGATGGTCCTGCCACCACTGCTCTGCTCCCTAGGCCAGGTGCCAGGCTGAGGCTGGGTCCAAAGGCCCCAGCTGGAGGATTCTGATCGGTCTCAGAGGATGGAAGGAGGGGAGGGGTTCCTGCATCTACTGCAGCCTGGCCCAGGCTTCACACAGGGAAGTCAGGTTTCAGAGGACAGTGCCAGGCCAGCTAGGCTGCCCTGCAAGGTCCCTCCTCTGAGTCTCTTGGGACCCAAGAACATGCAGCTGGTCTAGACCTTGAGTAGAAAAGGGAAGTGGGCTCTGGGCCCCGCTGGTTGTGCGGCCTTCCCTGCTAGGGCCCATCCTCTGGACTCCATCTCCAAGGACTCAAACAGGACCTGGAATTCCAGGCGGAAGGAAGGGCCAAGGCACCTTGGGCAGAAACAGGGAGTGCGCCTTGGCCCTGGGCAGAGCAGAGCGGGGAGGCCCCGTCCTAGTCCCGAGTGCGCCTTGGCCCTGGGCAGAGCAGAGCGAGCAGGCCCTATCCTAGTCCTAAGCGCCCCCTTCTGAGGGCCCTCTTCTTCCTCCATACCAGCAGCTGGGACACAAAGCAGCCCTCTGGGCGCTCCCTCAGAGCCCCCCAGCTGGTGTCCCCAGCTGCCACACTGAGCATTACGCCTGCAAGCATGGGGCACACTGGGGGAGGCCTGGGGAGAGCCCTGGCAGGCAGCACCCCCCGGGCTGCCTGTGAGCCCAGGGAGCAGCGGTTGGGAGTCTGTTTCTCCCAGCAGCTCAGAGTCTCCAGGCCTAGAAAGGGCCAGAGAGTTGGGAGCCAAGAAGGAGATGGCCCCGGGAAGGCACTGTGCAGACGGGCAGTGCAGGGGCAGAGCCCAGGCGGAAGCACCCCTGCCAAGGGGAGCACCGACAAGGGCATGGCCTCCAGGCTCTAGTGACCACAGCCCTACACACCACGATTACACTGGAATCAAAATCACACTGAAGCAGGGCTGTCGGTGGCGTGGTGGTTAAGGGTGCTGGACTCCCACATGGCCGACCATGGTTCGGGTCCTGAACCTGGCAGCTTGCTTTCTCTCTCTCTTTCTCTCTCTCTCTCTCTCTCTCTCTCACACACACACACACACACACACACACACACACACTGTCCCTCTTTAGTCAAATTAAAATAGATCAATAAAATAAATAAAGCTAAAAAAAAAAGCCTCGCACTGAAGCATCTATACCACAGTGGACCGTCATTTGAACTTTACAACTGGGAGAGGATCCCAATAGCATTGGTAATGTTGAAAACAACAGGGGATACTTTCTCGTCTTCGGTTCCAGAACATTTCAATTTGCCATCAACGCACATTTCTTGCTTTGAGGTTGAAAAAATACACATCCTAAAAAGAAAACAGTGTACTGCCTCCTGGGCTCTGGGGTAGGACGGGACAATGGCTGTGACAGCAATAGGTCCCAGGGCCAGAGGCCGGAGCTCCGGGAAGGAGCAGGCAGTGGTGGGGGCTGCCTTGCAGCCCACCAGGGCTCCTGGCCCCTGTTCCCAGGCTGCTAGCAAGAAAAGCAAATTTTCCAAATATGGTCTGCAGCCTGCCTCCGGGAATCACAGACCGTCAGGGGGCGGGACAGCAGGCCCACCCTCCCCCCAGTGACCCCAGAACACAGAACCCGCCCCGCTGGGTCCCCCCTGCCCCTGCCCTGGTGACCACAGGAAGTGCCAGCAGAGTGAGTCACAGGAAAATTCCCCTCGAGCCGAGTCAGAGGGGCGTGGGGGTGCAGATGGAGGGGACTGCCCCTCAGGGCCCTTCACCTCTTAGAAGGACAGCCAAGGAAAGCTGGTGGAGTGGAGGCTCCACCCAGCAGGGCAGGGCACCAGGGAGGCTGGAGGGCTCCGCAAAGACAAGGTCCAGTGGGGGACAGAAAGGGAGAAGGGTCTGTCTGGCCCAGGTGAGCTACTGGGGCCTCCGGCCGCCCAGGGTAGCCGCCCAGGGTGGCCGTCCTCCCACCCCACGGCATGAGCTCACTTAGCTCCGGCGGCCAACTGGGGGTGCGACTGTGTAGTCTGGGGCAGCCGGAGCCAGCCTGGGAAGCACCTCGCTGGCTGGGCACGTGGCACGGGGCGCCTGGCACCAGGAGCTCAGCTGCCTGCGTCAGCCCCTGCGGCAGCCTCTCCTGAGCACTGCTGGTGCCCCAGCAACTGCTCCGCTGACCAAACACCCACCCCTCTGGGCCTCTGTGCCTCCCCAGCTGCTCCCCCAGGTCACATCGATCCTTCTTTCTCTTAGCTATGTCATCACTAAGTAGCAGCTATGACCCAGACCTGGGCCTGAGTCTCCCTCCCAGGCTGTGTGACCTTGGGCAAGTCCCGTAGTCTCTCTGAGCACCCAGCTCCTCCCTCCCAAACTGACAGGTAGAGTGATAAGCAAGTGTCTACTGAGTGGATGGGGCTGAGCAGGGAGGCCATGTCCATCCCCAGGCGCCCATGTCCTGCCAGGGGGCAGGGCGGGCAGTGCAGTGACCCCAGAAAACCTAGGAAGGCCCTCTGGGGCTTACTCATCCCAGAGGATGGGGTCAGAGGAGAACCCCCAGCCCAATGTCAGCACTCCCTATACATCCTGGTGCTGCCAGGGCCCCAACGGGTTGGCCCGGTGTTGCCTTGCCTAGCTCTGAAAATGACCCTCACTATGTCCCCAGGGCCTGCTTAGGTACCAGAGCACCTGCAGCCTCGGCCATGGCCAGGCACACGTCTGTGTGATGGGCATCTGGGTCTCCTCCTCAGCTCCCCCCGAGGCCTCGGGGAGCCGTGGACATGCTATGGGTACCCTCAAAGCCTCCTCTCTCCAAGGAGCCTTCCTGGCTGCCTGAAGGGTAGGCCCCAGGAGCTCCTTACAAGCAGGATCAGCCAGGCCAGCTGTGGAGATGCTACAGGTGTCACCGCTGATCAGAGACCCCCACCAGGCCCACTGCTCAGCACCAACAAGCCAGCCCGAGGTGGGAGCTGGGGACAAAGTGGACAGTGGGACTACTGGCTCCAGTCCAAGTCCTGGGGGCAGAGGGACTAAACCAGGAAATGAGCAATGCCAACACGCTGGCAGGCTCACGGCAGCGAGAACAGCACGTCCATGCCACACCGGAGGCAGAGCTTTCTTCCGTAGAGCAGTCACCTCGTCTGACCCTCAGAATGACACCACGAGACACTGGGATGACCGCCATCTGACAGACGGGGAAACCGAGGCTCAGAACAGTCACCTGGCAGAGGCGGATCTGGGCTGTGAGGTGGTGGCGCTGGGCACCTCCTGGGGTACTGCTTAGTTTAATGAAGGCAGGAGGGGAACTGCATGGCCTTTCCCAGCCTCCTGTCCTCACCGCAGTCCGCACACTCCCGCCCAGCACAGAGCCTCACACATAGCGGCCCGCAGGAAACACTGGCTCCCTTCATCCCCAGAACTGTCGCAACCATGGGCCAAGTTTATTTCTGGGGTATTCTGTTTGCCTGTCCCAAAGTGCCCCAGCCGCCAATAGATACAGACCCACAAGTGTGTGCCTGACTGGCACTTGCACCCATACCCTCCTCACTCCTGCCAGGGGACCACCTGGAGGGCAAGCAGCAGGTCCTGACCATCCCACCTCACCTGCACCCGGCTCTGATGGGCGCAGGCTCAGAAGTTGCACCTCTATGCTTCCTGCCAGGTAGTCCACGTGCCCCCAGAGTTCCTGGGTGGGACTCTGGGACCAGGCAGCCTTAGCAGTATCCGCCCTGAAACTCCCATGGACAGTGGTATGGCCAGTCTGGCTGGAACGGACAGGGAGCAGGTGAACCACCAGCCCCGGGGCAAGCCCTGCAGAAGCTCCTGCCCTGCTGCCTCAAGAGCATGATGGCCGAGAGGACCGAGCAGAGGCCGTGCAAGGCTCCTCTCCAGTCTTGACCCTCAGTAGCCAGAGGAAAGGTGTGCCCAGGAAAGGACTAAAAAGCCTACCATGGGGTTCCCATGCCAGGGGC